AGTAATGGTGGTAATAGTAGTAGTAGGAGGAGGAGGAGAGCAAGCGGAAAGGCACAGCTGTCCTCGATCAGGTTGACAAACACATTGGGCAAGCAGGCCTCCCACCGCTGTCGCACTTGCCAACCAGCTGCGAGGCGGAAGGCAAGAGTCTCATCCTGGGTTCTTGTTCACGAACCTACTTAAAGGTTCATGGGGCTTAGAAACTAGGGCTATAAATCAGGTGACTATACTTTTACTTATTTAAAGACCCAGTTGAGGTACTTAGAACTGTACTTAGACTTATTGTCTCATAAACCTCCAAGTATAAGTGTGGGGCACTGATAAGTAACCGTACTGCGGATCCATGGTCTATAGCGTATAATAAAGATCATGGCTTCCTGATTAATTAAGAATTATGATAGCTGAAAGGAGCTCCCTAGCAAGAACCGAGCATCCTTCTCGGTTCGCCTCTTCTGCAGCATCTCATGCGTTTGCTTCAGATCGCTGAACATGCTGGTGCTCTGGTCTGTGCGTTCCGCAACGCAGAAGACCTCAGGCGCCTGGTGGTAGGGATCCAGCTTGTTCAACCTTGCAGCGATGGAAAACCGCTCAATCCCTGGACCGACGATTTCCTCCATCTCTGGGTGGTTGGCGATGAGTTGGTACCACGGCCGGCCAGAGTGGGTGAGATCGATCTCCACATCTTCGTCGCCACTTCGCCGTAGCTTCGCATGAAGAGCTGGCTGGCAGCAGCGCAGGATGTCCTCACGCTTTCCCAGATGAGCCGCTGGTTTTCAGGCTTCAGGCTCATGAACTATCGTGACCAAAGCCAGAACAGCATTCTGTTATGCTATTGTTCACAAAGCCGCTGCAGCTCGCACTGCAGAGCCTGATCAAATGCATATACAACCACATTGTTATGGCGACGATGTCGCATTGGCACACCAATTCAAAACGACCTCTCCTGCGCTTGTCTTCCTCCGTTACGAGTTTGATCCCTCCGTTTATCTACAGAGAAACAGCCATCAAGAGTCTACGGCCCAAGAACCCTGCAAAAAGCACGATACCATCCACGGCTTAAGTCAGATGACTTCCCGCAAACTCGTTTGGGGTTGAACTGAGGTCCTCCAGGCCACTGCTGGTGATGGCTTCGCAGCGGCGGAGCTCTGCGATGGTCAGTGGGCCTTGGAAGCTCCGGGAGGTGTCCGGATGCCAACCCTCGATGTTCCGCCAGAAGTCCTCCGGAGTTTAGGGCTTAAGGCTTAGGCTTTAGGGTTTAGGAGCTTAGGTATTAGGGTTTAGGAGCTTAGGGTTTAGGGCTTAAGGCTTAAGGGTTTTAGGGTCTGGAGCTGTGGGTTTGGGGTTTCAGGGTTCGGCATCTGGGTGGTAGAGCTTGGAACCTGGAGTGTTCTGGTTAAGGGGGTCCCTAAACCCTAAACCCTGGGTTTAGGGTTTGAGGTTTATATCGGGGGATTTCGAAGCCCCCGTGACTGACAAGGCTTATAAGGAAGGGACATCGCCGAGACCCAAACCTGACCTGGCCAGAGCCACAAAGCTACCTCTCTGGCCCTTAGTAATGGGTATTGCTTCGGTACTGACCCATACAGTAACACTCTAAAATAATGGGGCTAGAAGGCCTTACATATCCAAATTATGAATATTACTCCACGGTTACTGAGTGGGGGCAGTATCCAGGGTATTCCGACTGAAACGTGAAGCCCTAGACTTGCTTCCATACGGTTGATGACACAAATCCTGCATTACCCATAATAAGGAATATACCATATTTCCCATAGTTTGGGGTCCTCAAGGTAATGCAGGATTTCTATCATAAACAGTAGTGCACTTAAACTTAAACTCATCAAATTATCATAGAGGCTAAATTTAAACGAAAAGCGTGCAGCAGGAAGGGGTCTAGCTCTATACATCCGGACCCAAATGCTCAAACTTAAACTCTGAGTCCGAGTTCCCAAACCTAACCTTCGAACCCTAACACCCTAACCCCCCCAACCCTAAAGCACTACACCCTAAACCCAAAACCCTAAAGCACTCCACTCTGAACCCTAAACGGACGCCCAAACCCTAAAATCTCGAGTCCTGGCTCTCCAGGTCATAGAAGTGCGTCAGTCGCTTTTCGGGCAGCCACTGCCAGTCCTGGTGGACCTCAAATCTTTCAACAAAGGCAGAAAAAAGGTTGAGAGGATCTTTCCCTAAACCCTAAACCCTATGCCGGCTTAGAACTTCGGGTTCAGTGCTTCGGGTTTGGGAGCTTGTGGCTTCGGTTTTGGCACTCAGATCTTCGCACTTCAGCCGTCGGGGTACGAGTCACTGCTGGATTGGAGCAAAACGCATGTGAGGTCCGGATGAAAAAAGAACTACGAGATTCTGTGATGCCTATAATGTCAGCGATGACACCAACATTTCCATCATGATGATCATCTACTGTCAGTGCACCTTCTCCGCAAATGGCTGTTGTACCCTGTGGCCTACGAAAGCTAGTCTAAATCCCGTCATCACCTTTGTAACAGAGGGTCTGGGTGTTTCGTGCTGGAGATCTCTGGGCAGTTCCATCTTTGAGCTTTGACCAGCTTCTGGGAACTCATGAATATTTAGAGCCAGGGTGGGGGCGAATATTTGGTGCCAAACACGCAAGAGCACTGTGTCGTGGTTAGGACGCCCGCCTCGTCCCATACCCGCCGCCACGGCGGCGACAGTTTCGACGGGTCTTGGCACAGCAAAACCACGAAGCCCACGCAAGCAGCCCTTTTGCGGTGCTCCACGGTGCCGCCCAATGCGAGAACCTTGTGCGAATCGAACTTGAAAAGGCCGCCATAGGAATACTCCTCCGGAAAAAACCGTTTCAGCCACTTCGTGAGCTCCTTCGTCTGCTCCTTTCAAACATTCCCCAAAGCTCTCTCAACAACTTTGCACTCCGTGTTCGTGGGGTATACCTAACTATCCCAGGCCCCGAGGTAGGTGGGGAGTAATTCATGGACCCCGGATACCCAGAACCCGAAACCCCAAGCCGTCAGGGCTGCTGGGTCAGGGCGCTCCTCCTGCAGATTGCTCAGGTTCTCCACGTCCGCGGCCCACTGGAACATCGTCTTCGAAGATGCGAAAAGGCTGGCACCGCGGTCCTCGCAGAGCACCACCAAGCTGTTGTCCTGCCTGCAGGATGCTTAACCCCAAACCCAACACCCCTGCTAGTACTAGTAAACTAAGCAATAGCAGCAGCAGCAACAGCGTAGCAGTAGGAGTAGGACTAGGAGTAGGGCGAGGCAGGATTTCGAAGTTGGACAAAGATTAAAATCAAACATATTCCCCCTTTCGGGCGGGGCGTAGACATCGCATCCAGAAGGCTTAAATTCGAATGTTATCCTCTGAACCAAGCAGCGGCTACCAGTCGAGCGCCACGGGAGGGATTTAAATTCGAATCTATGTCTTTCTCTCGCTTAGGGTTTAAAATCCAAATTTAGGCCGTAGGCAATCGACGAAGATTTACCTGCATACATAAATACGTTAAGTTTGAATGTTCTGAGAAAACTTTACACCTTGTCGACTCCAAGTAGTATAAGCCCTGTTAAGACGGAACCCTGGAAGAACGGTTTGCTCCTTATTTCGAATTTCTCTAATATTTTTCGAACTTCTCACGTCTCCTTCGAACGGTTTGCTCCTTTTCTGAAATTCTATAGTTCTTTTCGAGCGGTTTGCTCCTTGTTTTCCTTCTCCAGTCCCTTTCGAAATTTCCAAGTTTCTTTGGAGCGGTTCGTTCCTTGTTCTGAAATTCTCTAGTTCCTTTCGAGCGCTTTGCTCCTTGTTTTCAATCTCTGTGATCCCTTTCGAAATTCTCTTTCGGGCGGATTGCTCCTTGTTCCGAAACTCTCTAGTTCCTTTCGAGCGGTTTGCGTCTTGTTTTCAACTTCTCGAGTCTCTTCCGAAATTCTCTAGTCCCTTCCGAGCGGTTTGCTCCTGCTTCTGAAACTATATCCTTCCTTTCGAGCGGTTTGCTCCTTGTTTTCAAATTCTCTAGCATCTTTCGAAATTCTTTAGTCTCTCTCGAGCGGTTTGCTCCCTGCTCTGAAATACTCTGTAGTACCTTTCGAGCATTCTGCTCCTGGTTTTCAAATTCTGTAGTCCCTGCCTCTGCCGAAATTCTCTAGTCTCTTTCGAGCGGTTTGCTCCTTGTTCTGAAATTCCCTAGCCCCTTTCGAGCGGTTTGCTTCTTTGTTCCAATATCTTCAGTCTTTTCCAAACGGTTTGCTCCTTTCTCTGTCCCTTTCGAGCGGTTTGTTCTTTTGTTTCAAGATCTTTAGTTTCTTTCGGGCGGTTTGCTACTTCTTCTAAAATTCTGTAGATCGTTTCGAGCGGTAGCGGTTTCCTCCTTGTTTTCCAATTCTCTACTCTCTTTCGAAATTCTCTAGTATCTTTCGAGCGGCCTGCTCCTTCTTCTGAAAATCTTTAGTTCCTTTCGAGTGGTTTGCTCCTTGTTTCCGAATTCTCGAGTCTCTATCGAAATTCTCTGGTCTCGTTCGGGCAGTTTGCTCCTTCTTCTGAAAATCTCTAGTTGCTTTCGAGACGTTTGCTCCGTGTTTTCAAACCCCCAAGTCTCTTTGGAAGTTCTCTAGTCGCTTTCGAGCGGTTTGCTCCTTCTTCTGAGGCGCTCTAGTTCCTTCCCGGTGATTTGCTCCTTGTTTTCAAACTCTCTAATCGGAAATCTTTAGTCTCTCTCGAGCGGTTTGCTCCTTGTTCTGAAATTCTCTAGTTCCTGACGAGCGGTTTGTTAATTGTGTTCAATTTCTCTAGTCGCTTTCGAAAGTTTCTAGTCTCTTTCGGGCGGTTTGCTCCGTTTTCTGAAACTCCCTAAATCCTTTCGAGCGGTTTGCTCCTTGTTTTCCACTTCCTTAGTCTTTTTTGAAACTCTCTGGTCGCTTTCGAGCGGTTTGCTTTGTTATGCAATTCTCTAGTTCCTTTCGAACGACTTGCTCCTTGTTTTCAAATTCTCTAATCTGTTTCGGAATTCTCTAGTCGCTTTCGAGCGGTTTGCTCCTGCTTGTGAAATTCTCTCCTTCCTTTCGAGCGGCTTGCTCCTTCTTCTGAAACCCTCTAGTACTTTTCGAGCGGTTTGCTCCTTGCTTGCAATTTCCCTAGTCTGTTTCGAAATCCTCTAGTCCTTGTTCTCTCTTTCGAAATTCTCTAGTCTCCTTCGAGCCGTTTGCTCCTGCTCCTGAAATTCTCTAGTTCTTTTCGATCGTTTTGCTGCTTGCTTTCAAAGTCTCGAGTCTCTTTCGAAATTCACTAGTCTCTCTCGAGCGGTCTGCTCCGTCTAAAATTCTTTAGTTCCTTTCGAGCAGTTTGCTCCTTGTTTTAAATTTTGCTAGTCTCTGTGGAAATTCTCTAGTCCCTGTCGAGCAGTTTGCTCCTTCTTCTGAAACTCTTCGAGCGGCTTGCTCCTTGAATCTCGAAATTCGCTAGTCTCTTTCGAGCGGCTTGCTCCTTGTCTTCCACCTCTCCAGCTTGTTTGAAATTCTCGAGGCTCTTTCGAGCGGTTTGCTCCTTGTTCTGAAATTCTCTAGTTCCTTTTCAGCGCTTTGCTCCCTGTCTTCAAATTCTCTAGTCTCTTTCGAAATGCTCTAGTCTCTTTCGAGCGGTTTGCTCCTTCTTCTGAAACTCTCAGTTCCTTTAGAGCGCTTTGCTCCTTGAATTGAATTTAGCGAGGCTCTTTCGAGATTCTCTAGTCTCTTTTGAGCGGTTTGCTCCTGGTTCTGAAATTCTCTAGTTCTTGTCGATCGTTTTGTTGCTTGTTTTCAAAGTCTCGGGTCTCTTGCGAAATTCACTAGTCTCTCTCGAGCGGTCTGCTTCGTCTGAAATTCTCTAGTTCCTTTCGAGCATGCTGGTGACCAGGAGGAGGAGACGAGCCCCGGCTCGGGTGGCAAGGATGAAACGGACTTGGATGGTGAGTGCCTTGAGGAAGGTCGGGAGGACATGGAGGAGCAGGAGGCAGTGGATGATCAGGCAGTGGATGATGAGCCGGTTTCAGTGGAGGAGGATCTGGATCTAGGTCAGGGATTTGGGGCCAAAACCGCGGACTTTACACTCTTTCGAGATTCTCTAGTCTCTTTCGAATTTGCTCCTTGTTCTGAAGTTCTCTAGCACCTTCGAGTGGCTTGCTCCTTGCTTTCAAACTTTCTAGCTTCGATCGAAATTCTCTAGTCTCTTTCGAGCGGTTGCTCCTCGTTCTGAAGTTCTCTAGTCCTTTCGACCCGTTCTGAAAATCTCTAGTTCCTTTCGGGCGGGTTGCACCTTGCTTTCACATATTCTAGTCTCTTTCATGCGGTTTGCTCCTTCTTCTGAAATTCTCTAGTTTTGTTCGAACGGTCTCCTCCTTGCTTCAAGGTCTCAAGGTCTCTAGTCTCTGTTGAAATTTGCCTAGATTCTTTCGAGCGGTTTTGCTCCTTGTTCTGAAATTCTCTAGTTCCTGTCGAGCGGTTTGCACCTTTTTTCAAAGTCTCTAGTCTCTTCCGAAATTTGTCTAGTTTCTTTCGAGCGGTTTGCTTCTTGGTCTGAACTGAAATTCTCCAGATACCCTATTTACTTTCGAGCGGTTTGCTCCTTGTTTTGAAATTCTCTAATCTCTTTCGAAATTCTCTAGTCTCTTTCGAGCGGTTTGCTCCTGGTTCTGAATTTCTCTAGTCCATTTCAAGCGGTTTGCTCCGTGTTTTCGAATTCTCTGGTCTATTTCGAGGTTCTCGAATCTCTTTCGAGCGGTTTGCTCCTTTTTCTGAATTTTTCTAGTCTCGTTCGAGCGGTTTGCTCCTTGTTTTCAAAGTCTTTACTCTGGCGAAATACTCTAGTCTCTTTCGAACGGTTTGTTCTTACTTCTGAAATTCTCATTGTTTTCGGGCAATTTGCTGCTTGTTTTCAATGTCTCTCGTATCTTCCGAAAATCCCTAGTCTCTTCCGAGCAGTTTGCTCCTTGTTCTGAAACTCTCTAGTTCCTTTCGAGCGGTTTGCTCCTTGTGTTCAAATTCTGTCGTCTCTATCGAAGATCTCTAGTTTCTTTCGAGCGGTTTCCTCCTTCTTCTGAAACCCTCTAGTTCCTTTCGAACGGTATGCTCCATGTTTTCAAGTTCTCTTAGTCTCTTTCGAAATCCAATGGTCGGCTTCGCAAGTCTCTACTTTCTTTCGAGCGGCCTGTTCTTGTTTCTGACACTCTCTAGTTCCTTTCGAGCGCTTTGCTGTGTGTATTCAATTTGTCTGAAACCGCCATCGAAAATCTCTAGTCTCTTTCAAGCGGTTTGCGGCTTCTGCTGAATATCTCTATAGGCTGTTTCGAGCGGCTTTGTCCTTGTATTCAATTTCTGAAGTCTCTTTCGAAACTCTCTAGTCTCTTTCGACCGGTTGGTTCCTGTTGCTGAACTTCTCGAGTTCCTTTCGAGCGGTTTGCTCCTTGTTTGAATTTCTCGAGTCTGTTTCGAAATTCTCGAGTCTCTTTCTAGCGGTTTGCTCCTTGTTCTGAAATTCTCTAGTTCCTCCCGAGCGATTCGCTCCTTGTTTTCAATTTCCCACGTCTCTTTCGAGATGTTCTAGTCTCCTTGTTTTAACTTTTCGGATCTCTTTCGAGCAGTTTGTTCCCTCTTCTGAAATTATCTCAGTCCTTTCGAGCGGTTTGCGCCTTGTTTCCAGATTCTCTAGTCTTCGAAATTCTCTAGTCTCTTTCCAGCGGTTTGCTCTTTGATAGCAAACTTCTCTAGTTCTTTTCGAGCGGTTTGCCTGCCTCTTCGAGTAGGTCGCTCCTTGTTTTCAAGTTCTCTAGCCTCTCTCGACATTTTCTATTCTCTTTCGATCGGCTTGCTCCATATTCTGAAACCCTCTACGTAGTTCCTTCTGAGCGGTTTGCTCCTTGCTTTCAAATTCACGAGTCTTTTTCGAAATTCTCTAGTCTCTTTCGAGCGGCTTGCTCCTTGTCTTCCACCTCTCCAGCTTGTTTGAAATTCTCGAGTCTCTTTCGAGCGGTTTGCTTTGTTATGCAATTCTCTAGTTCCTTTCGAACGACTTGCTCCTTGTTTTCAAATTCTCTAATCTGTTTCGGAATTCTCTAGTCGCTTTCGAGCGGTTTGCTCCTTCTTCTGAAACTTTCAGTTCCTTTAGAGCGCTTTGCTCCTTGTTTT